TTTTTAGTAATTATAAATAATTCTTCCAAAAATAGTTGATCTATCTGTTCATCTGTTTAGTGTGATTAGTAAATATTAAGTCATGAAACTAGTTGAGGGATTTTTATTTTCTCTTTTATATCAATTATTTGAAGATCCACGCCTGCAGGACCAATTAATCTCTTCAATTTTAAAATAAATAAAAACCTACAAAGTGAACATAAAATAACATATAGGGTTATAGGTATATGAAAAGTAATAATAACCAAATTAACAAACATAATGGTTCTAATGAATATAAAAGAGCAATTTATTTTTTAGAAAAAGGTTGTGTTTGTGGTTGCTCTTCAAAAATTTCAAAGAAAGAATTTGCAGAATTAAAGAAATCTTTTAAAGCTTTTCTAAATCCGAACAAGACGTATTTTTAATGGCCCAATTTAAGGCAATTAATGGTGGCTCAATAAGAATACTTTATCACATCCTGGGTGATTGCATTTGCAATCTTTTATTACAATATATGTCTTAGCAAATAACCATTTGTAGAAAATTTTTTAGTGCATCCTGGATATTCACATTTGAAGTCTTTTATTTTGAAATGACATTTTGTATGTGTTAACAAATTAATTTAGCATGGAATTCTTTGGTATGCCCTGGATATTCGCACTTGTATTGTTTTTAGCTATGAATGATATCATGCTTTCTAAATGTATCCCTTGACCCTAACATTCTGTCACAACCTGGAAAAGTGCAAACAAATCTCCATTATTTCGAAGTGATTTTTGATCTAGCATCATTGGATCTTCTTCATCTTCATCTTCACCAAAGTCACTGTCTTCATTACTATTGCCTTCATCTTCAAACATCACTGTCTTCATCATCAATTTCTCTACCATGGTCATTATTATATTTATCACTAATTTCATTCAACATTCTAACAATGTTTCATTTTTTAACAAATAAAATAAGAAATGCAAAATTGAGTTTTTATTTAATTAGTTAATAAATTATGAGTTTTATTTTTGAAAACTTTTATTATTTTATCCATTGAATAAAAAATGTTTGAAAAAAAAAATTCTATAGAAATAATTGGAACATGATGGAGAATTTCTTGATTTAGAATAATTTATGCAAATCAAATCAAAATAAAATAATAATAAATTTTTTAATATGACAAGTATAGCAAAAAGATTGATAAGAAAATCTAAACCACAATTGCCAATTTACAAAGATGCTAAAGGTCACAAAACTCTTTTAGAATTAATTAATGTTTATCCAGATTATGGAGTTGGCCTAAACGTGGTTTGTATTATTGGCCTTCTTGTTATGAACAAATAAATAAATGAAATAATGATGATTTCTTTTATTGTTTTTCATTCGGGATATATAGATTCCGATCAGATTGATACAAAAAGGAAACTTAAATACTTATTTTAAAATTACAAGGGTCAAATTAAAGGTTTTTTTCTTTTTTTTTTGAATTTAAATTGCATAAATTTTTTAATTATTTTAAATTCTAAATTTTGTTTCTTGTATTTTAATTAATTTAAAGGATATCTCGCATGGTTCTGTAAATGGTATAAAATATTGGAAAGGTGAAGCAAAAAAATAGAAAGATGAGAACTTTATATGAATATCTTTGTTTGTTTATTTCTTTATTTCTTGCGATAAAATATCAATTGAATGATTTAATTTCTCTTTAAAAAGGTAAAAAAGAAAAAGAAGAAGGAATTCCTTGGAGATATAGTAACAATTGGTACATATGGCCTTATCAGGGTGAAAGAGATGACAAGTGGGCTTAATCAATGAATAAACAACAAGAAAAGATATTTATTCGGTTAAAATAAATGAAATAAAAAAATATGTTTAATTAATTAAAGAAACTTTACAAAGTAATTTTTTTCTTGCCTTCCAAAAGCGATTTTTATAGCCAACGTCTTTACCATAAAGAAAATCTATACCTCCTATTATCTATCTAACAATCTATAAAATTGAGATCCTAGATAACAATAAAGTATGTGTTTAAATGACTAGGAATTTAAATCATCTTCAAATGAATTTTCTTTGATCTATTGATACAGTGGTTACCAGATGCTTAATCCAAGCGTGGTGATCAAAACATACATAAAATTAAATATGCATAATACACAATTTTTAATAAATTAATTTAACCAATTAACCGCTATATGCCTGTATCACAATTATATATGGTACAATTGTGACTAAAAATACTTGTTCATTTGTTTGGTTTCGTTGTTGTCTGCCTCATATAGGTATTTTTTTAAATGGAAACTTATAATTATCAATAAATAAATACGTCCAGATATATCATCAATGGGGAGAAGATTGTAAAACTTTGATGATCTGCATCATTTTAAAATTACTGCGTAATTATATTATTAGTGGTAATGGTAGCATTTCACAACAAGTACGCAAATAACATCTAGATAATTACCATACAAGTAGAATATTAGATGAAGAGATTGCTAAATCAAAAAGCTTAAAAGGTTATATAAGTAATGATAGCGCGACCTTGATTTCAACAACTCTCTTCTCTTAAATGTTGAAGGTGGATAAAATTTCATTATTAATTAATAACAATATTTTTATTTACATTAATTGATTAATAAAACATTCGATCCTAATGATAATAGTAAAAGAATGAATTGATTTATTTAATCCCTACTATAAATTTATTCATTATAATTAATTATTTTTTTATTTTATTCTTATTTTATTCTTTTAATAATAAACTTTTTAATTCTTATTAAATGGTGTGGTTTAACACATATGACTTAACTTTTGGGTTACTTACTTTTGTCATTAACTACTTTTACTACTGACATGACAACAACAATAATAAAATTTCTACTGTAATGATTGACGACGTTCAAGAATAATTGTGATTGGCTCGGCTGGCACCGTATTTGCATAAGATCACTCACGTGATTTTCGCGTTCAAAACAAAAAATCAAAATAGAAGACGGTAATCAAGTCTATATCGCGAAGACCATACCTCGATATAAACAAGTATTATTACAGTACCAACGTATTTTGAATATTATAATATCCATCCTGCTTGCGAAAATTCAAAGTCTCTTATCAAGCTTAACGGCAAAATATATAAATCGATACTATTAAAACAAAACTTTGCTTTCGTCGTCGGTTTAGCAACCCACATTTATTAGTATACTTAAGACAACAACAACTAAGTATTTACAACAACTACAAATACTACAACTACAACAACTACAACTACAACTACAACTACAACTACAACTACAACTACAACTACAACAAAGTTATCAATAATCAACGACAACCACCAATCTTATTTTAATTGTAATAATATGTACCATTACCATCATTATTATAATAATAACAATAGTAACAATAGTAATAGTAGTAATAATAGTAGTAATAATAATAATGATATTATCATGAATAGTGATACTGATAATAATTACTGATGATACTGATGATGATACCTACATAAATTCTGATGATA